AGATAATGGGCTGGTGTTTTGAGACATATTGAGATAGTGAAGTGTGTTACTTCTTCCCAATGAGTAAGGAAGGAATGGGAGAGGAAAGGGTAAAGGCCGGGTGTAATAAAAATAATAACCAACAGGGGGGTGCCTGGGTGGCTCGGTTGGTTGAGCATCTGACTTCCCCTCATGGTGTGATCTTGCAGTTTGTTGAGTTTGAGCCCCACACTGGGCTCGCTGCTGTCAGTCCAGAGACTGCTTCGGATCCCCCGTCTCCCTCTCTCTCTGCCCCTCTCCCGCTCCCACTTGTGCTCTCTCAAAAAATAAACACTTAGAAAAAATAATAAGAGTAACCAACAATCACTGCTTCCTTACAGACTATACCATATTTCCACACACAGTGCATCATGTGATTGTTTTCACAGAAAAGTTAGGAGGAGGGGTGTTATTTAGTCCATGAAGAAACTATCTCCCCACAGGATTACACAGTTCACACCTGAGCTAGAACAAAGTTTTTCTTGAGTTTTAGCCCCACGTCCGTTTACTGTTCAGGGTGGCTTCCCATATCGACGTCCCTGCTTGTCGTGGGAAAATAGACATTTGGGCAAATGCAGAGACTGAAGCAGAGAGGATAATGGTGCAGGGAAGAGCAAGGACTGCCCAGGTGTGAGGAGTGTTGTGCCTGTGCACGTGTGCACACAGGCCAGCCACACATGACACAGTATCTTGGGAAAGGAATACCAAGTGAGTGACAGAGCCATTGGTGACAAGACCCCTCAGCGGTGAGAGATGGGATTGTGAGCACTTAAGAGTGGGGCTTAAATAAGGCAATCCTGAGAAATAAAACCAAAGCAGGAGGCATTACAATCCCGGACTTCAAGCTGTATTACAAAGCTGTAATCATCAAGACAGTATGGTGCTGGCACAAGAACGGACCCTCAGACCAATGGAACAGAACGGAGAACCCAGAAATGGACCCACAAACGTATGGCCAACTAATCTTTGACAAAGCAGGAAAGAATATCCAACGGAAAAAAGACCATTTCTTCGGCAAATACTGTTGGGAAAACTGGACAGCGCCATGCAGAAGAATGAACTTGGACCACCTCCTTACACCATACATAAAAATAAACTCAAAATGGATGAAAGACCTAAGCATAAGACAGGAAGCCATCCAAATCCTAGAGGAGAAAACAGGCAACAACCTCTTTGACCTCGGCCACAGCAACTTCTTACTTGACACGTCTCCAGAGACAAGGGAAACAAAAGCAGAAATGAACTATTGGGATCTCATCAAAATAAAAAGCTTCTGCACAGCAAAGGAAGCAGTCAGCAAAACTAAAAAGCAACCGATGGAATGGGAGAAGGTATCTGCAAATGACATATCAGATACAGGGTTAGTATCCAAAATCTATAAAGAACTTACAAACTCAGGGGCACCTGGGTGGCTCAGTCAGTTAAGCATTTGACTCTGGCTCGGGTCATGATCTCACAGTTTGTGGGTTCGAGCCCCGTATCGGGCTTTCTGCTGACATCTCAGAGTCTGGAGCCTGCTTCGGATTCTGTCTCCATCTCTCTCTGCCCCTTTCCAACTCGCGCTCTGTCTCTCACTCAAAAGTAAACAAACAGTAAAAGAAAAAAACAAAAAAAAACAAAAAAAACCCTTACAAACTCAACACCCAAAAAACAAATAATCCAGTGAAGAAATGGACAAAAGACTTGAATAGACACTTTTCCAAAGAAGACATCCAGATGGCCAACAGACCCATGAAAAAGATGCTCAATGTCACTCCTCATCAGGGAAATACAAGTCAAAACCACCATGAGATACCACCTCACACCTGTCAGAATGGCTCACATCAACAACTCAGGCAACAACAGATGTTGGCGAGGATGCGGAGAAAGAGGCTCTCTTTTGCATTGTTGGTGGCAATGCAAACCGGTGCAGTCACTCTGTAAAACAGTGTGGAGGTTCCTCAAAAATTTAAAAATAGGGGTGCCTGGGTGGCTCAGTCAGTTGAGTGTCCAACTTTGGCTCCGGTCATGATCTCACCCTTCGTGGGTTCGAGCCCTGCATTGACAGCTCAGAGCTGGAGCCTACTTTAGAATCTGTGTCTCCCTCTCTCTCTGCCCTCCTCAGCTCACACTCTGTCCCTCTCTCTCAAAAATAAACATAAAAAAATTTTTAAATTAAAAGTAGAACTATCCTATGATCCAGCAATTGCACTGCTAGGTATTTATCAAAAAGATAAATTCAAAGGGGCACATGCACCCCCGTGTTTATAGCATCACTATCGACAATAGCCAAAGTATGTAAAGAGCCCAAATGTCCATCAACAGATGAATGGATAAAGAAGATGTGGTATGTGTGTGTGTGTACATGTATGTATATATACATATATATGTATATATATGTATATGTACATGTGTATATATACATATATATAATGTAATATTACTCAGCGATTAAAAAGAGTGAAATCTTGCCATCTTCAACAACGTGGATGGAACTGGATTGTATTATGTACGCAAAATAAGTCATTCAGAGAAAGACAAATATCATATGATTTCACTCATGTGGAATTTAAGATACAAAACAGATGAACATATGGGAAGGGAAGCAAAAATAAGATAAAAACAGAGAGAGAAGCAAACCATAAGAGACTCTTAAATACAGAGAACAAACAGGGTTGCTGGTGGGGTGTTGGGTGGGGGAAGGGCTAAAGGGGTGAGGGGCATTAAGGAGGACACTTGTTGGGATGAGCCCTGGGTGTTCTACATAAGAGATGAATCACTAAATTCTCTTCCTGAAATCATTATTATGCTGTATGTTACCTAACTTGGATTTAAATTTAAAAAAAAAAAAAGTGAGTTTTAAAGAATTGGATACCTGGGTTCAGATTCTGTTCCACCCCTTGGCTGTGTGAACTTGGTCTTGTAACCTTTTTGTGCCATCATTTCCTGCTACTACTAATCAACCCTCAGAGGACTGCTATGAAGATTAAATTGGATAATCCATGCCGAATGCTTACAACTGGGCTTGTTCCATAGTGCACCCTCAATATTATTTTTCTAACTTCCATTACAGTGTGGGTTGTTTTTTTTTTTTTGTCTCTTCTGTAAGACACTAAGGTACTTTCTCATGCTTTATTGATGTCGATCATAGGAAAAGAAAACCTTGCAATGGAGTAGTGCGTTAGTACAAGTAGAGATACAGTTGCACCGGGTGTTTGAGCTCAGTGTGTTTCTGAGGAAGTTGCAAAACATGTTAAAAAAAAAAAAAAAAACAGAAAAAGAAAAAAGTCTTGGGGTGCCTGGGTGACTCAGTCGGTTGAGCACCTGACTCTTGATTTCGGCTCAGGTCATGATCTCAACGTTACGTGAGTACGAGTCCCGCGTCAGACTCTGCACTGACAGTGTGAAGCTTGCTTGGAATTCTCTCCCTCTCTCTCTCTGCCCCTCCTGGGCTCTCTCTGTCTCTTTCTCAAAAATAAATAAAGAGCCTGTGCGGTATGTAGTTCTTTCTGTGTTTTCTTTCTATGTCTGTGTCTACAGTCCTCACTTTAGATGGCACACCCCTTTAGGCCAGGGCCCGTGTTTGCTTTTGAACCAAAAGCATGGTCTTTATATTCTTAAAATTACATTACAAAAGTAAAACAAAGATTAGTATTTTGTGATGTGTGAAAATTACATGAAATTCAAATTTTATTTTCCGGGAATGAAGTTTTATTTGAAGTTTTTTATAGCCAGGCAATGTAGCTAATATTGCCTGTGGCCTTTTTCACACTACAATGGCGGAGTTGAGTCTTTGTAACAGAGATCATAGGGCCTGCCTGCGAAGCCTAAAATATTTCCTGTCTGGCTCTTTACAGAAAAGGTTTGCTGACTTCGGTCCTAAAATAACTAGTAGGTCTCCTAAAAAGTTGCTATCCCCTCCCCTATTGAGATTCAAGGTTTTGATTGTTTATCAAACCACACAGGGAGTGGTAGAAACTGTGCTGCGATAACCTTTTTTTTAATGTTTATGTATTTTGACAGAGAGCGCACACACACACACACACACACACACACACACACACGTGCCTGTGCACACAAGCGGGGAAGGAGCAGAGAGAGAGGGAGAGAGATAATCCCCAACAGCCTCCCCGCTCTCGGCATGGAGCAGATGTGAGGCTCAATCCCATGACCCTGAGATCATAACCTGAGCCGAAATCAAGTCAGACGCTCAACTGCGCCACCCAGGTGCTCCTGTGATGCCATTGTTTTAAAAGCCACAGTGTGATTAAATAGCTCCAAATGCTCAAGAAGGCTTCCTTTCGGTGTCTAAGATAAGCTGTCATGGGGAAATGAAGTTAGTTTTAGGTAAGAAATACAAGGCAGGAAGACCCCAACCTTGAGTCTCAGCACCATGATTCTCTAAACCAGCAATGGCGGCCAACATTGCACAGGGCTGTGTAGATCAGCTAACATGATGATAACGTTGTTATAAGATACTGTCACTGTACGCTGACCCCTTAGAGGACCTGACTCTCATTTCCTTCCCAGACCTCTTCCACAGGCTGGGTGCGAACAATGGTGGTGCAGGTGTCCAGGTGACTGCCAACAGCGCCACCAGCAGGAGGACCCCCCAGGCGCTTCCCTGAAGCCGTCACCGATAAACCAACACATGAATGAAGGAATGTGCTTTTCTGGGATCAGGGCCCAAGTGCAAACAGTGCCTCTGCCAGAATCTTCCTTTAATGTTACGCTGGACCTCAGTCCTGCCTTATTCAGACTATACTCTGAGGGACGCTACTGTCACATACATAACACATGCTTGGGCTTCAGTTTTGAAAAACCAAGCACAGTTCTGAGAACTGTTTCTAACGAGTGTGAATTTTCCCACCTGTTTCTCTTTTTTTTCCTATTTATTACACTTCTTTTTTCTGTTTCTCTTTTTTTCTTTTTTTCCTATTTATTACACTTCCCTGTTGGGTGGCTGATGTCAACGTTTTCCCCCACAGTTGAGAGAAGGCAACAACGTTTTTAAAAACTAGGTTTGAACTTCTAATCTCACCCACAGTGTTAGGAAGCTCCTGAAAGGCGGCTCCGCACGAGGGGCTTTAGAGGACTGAGGCCTCGTTTTCCACACTTATACTTGAGGATCTCTCTCTTCCCACAGTACTTAGTAATTGTTTATCAGTTTTCTGTGAAATTCTGAACATAACTTTGCTGAACCAGAGTCAGTTGTAAGGCACCAACGGTAGTTAACATCTCTGTCTGTTCAGTGATAATGTGGTCTCAACGCTGTGTTCTTTCTACAGTAGAAAATTGGAGGGGATTTTGTGAACTGATGGGTTTTACACTTTCCATCACTCCTAATGATGCTCATTAATTTGTTTTTATATTTATTTATTTTTGAGAAAGGGAGCGCCAGCAGGCTGGGCCCGAGGGACAGAGGATCCAACGTGGGCTCTGCTCTGACAGCAGAGAGCCCGATACGGGTCATGAAATCATAACCTGAGCCGAAGTAGGTCTCGGCTGAGCCACCCGGGCGCCCCACGCTCATTAATTTTTGAAAAGCAAAGCTTCTCACAATGATTTACTTTTAAAAAAACAAGCATAAAGCATAATATACACCTGCACTACAATTAGAATGGCCATCTGGCAAAAAAAAAAAAAAAAAACCCATATATATATACATACATATATATGTATATATATCTCAATGTTTAGCATCAAAGATCAGGTTAATTGAAGCTGTATCAGTGTCAAGGAGAAAGAGAGATAAAGCAAGATCTGCTGATGGATAAGGAGTAGAACTTCTCCACTCAATCCTTATTATTCACAGATTCCACGACTGAGAATTCACCTACTTGTGAAAATTTATTTGTAACCCCAAAATCAATACTTGCAGTGCTTTCACGGTGATTTGCGGACACGCACAGGGTAGCAAAAAATTCGAGTCACCTGACACACATGTTCCCAGCTGAGGTGGAGCAAGGCGACGCTCAGCTATTTCAGATCTCATAATGTAAACAAGCGTCCTTTTCCCACTGTGCCCGTGTGGGCTTTTTGTTGGTGATTTTGCTCTTTCAAATGGCAGAAATGCCGATGTGCTTTCTAGTGTTCCCAAGCACAGAAGGCTACGATAGGTCTTACAGAGAAAAACAGAAGTTCAATAACTTGCATTATCTAACTTCTATAAGAAGAAGAGTCACATAAGTTTAATTCAGGCATGGGTTGTAGTATTGTGGGCCCTGGGTTCACTGTTAATGAATCAACAAAACATGTTAAATAAGTATCTTTAAACAGAAACACACATAAAGTAAGGTTATGTAGTGACGAAAGGTTATCACTTGATGAAAATGTTATGCCCAGAGCCTTGCAGGAACCCAGCACTGGGTTTCTGTTAGGAGCAATGGTTCAGCATTGGTTAATTCAGCATTGACAGCAATTTACAGAACATAACAACCTCGAGTAATAGGAATCCAGTGGTATTTGGATTCCCTTTCTATTCAATTCTCCTATATGGGGCTTAAGTACCTTTAGTCCAGAAGAATCTCTGGCTGTTAAAATTACAGTGACTTTTTAAATAATTATAAGTTATTTTTAAAGCACCAACAAGGATGTCTTCCAGTTCTTCCAAGATCATTAGAGCCATCTTATCTCTGAATACTGTCCCGTGTTCCAAAGGTGGTCGTACCGCAGGTGGTCACTCGCACAATGGTACAGGTAAGGTTAGGGGATCAGAAGGAAATGGAGACACAGGTAGAAGCCAGGAGAGTGCTAGTTGCTAGTTTGTGTCCTTTCATTTCAACCACTCCAGAGACCTTTTGTCTATCCTGGCTAAACAGTTGATACCATTTGGGGAAGCCTTCCTTTCAAGTGAAAAAGAAAGGGTATGGGGGACAGGGAGGTATACGGGTGAGACGCTGGTCCTAACCTTCTCTAATAGGGAAGGTATACCCAACAGGGTGGTGTTGTCTGTGAAAAATTAATAATAACAGAGTTTCAGCTGAGGGTCACCTGTTAGAATCAACCTCTGGCATAAGGTTCTGTTTGTTGTAGAACGGGACGCTAATTGGAATTTGTACCTGTGTTATCATCACACAGTATCCAAAAAAATGGGCAACCTCTGGCAACTTTCACGACGTTTTCTAAGAAAAAGAGCCATTTGCAACTTTAGTGACTAATATATCCACAGAATTCACTTTTATTCAAAGAGAGGACGATCTTAGACTTCTCCCCTACTCCCCAGATACCTGATTATAATAGCAAAGGAGATCACTGTATTTTTCCCCCCTTGTTTGTAAGAAATAAGGAAAATTATTTATTTTGGCTTCTGAAAAACTGACGAACTGTGACATTTTCTTCATTGTAATGCACATGTGAAGTTATTTCCCCCAAACCAGATTCTAATTTTCTATAATTCAGTAGGACAGCTCGCAGAACTTTCTTGCCTACAGTTTGAAAGTGCTACGGGGAAAAATTAAATCATGGCACAAAAAGGGAAGTGAATGAGTTTTGATACCCAGGAAAATATGTGGTGACTCACAGATATGAAAAGAAGTTTCATCTGCAGCCTGAGACTTTGGGAATACTAAGGAAAGTGACTCGGCTTTCAGTTTTTTTCGTATTTTCTCTGTTGTGTCCTCCACGTTAACTCCCAACTTGGGGAGAGGAGGGGAATGTTCAATAGAATCAGATCAACAGAGCTGAGAATTATGCTCTCCTCTCCTCTAAGTTAGTAAAATGTGAATTGAAAAAGTCTGAGGAACTCATCAGCGTCCATGATGGCCATTGCAACTGCATATTATAAAAGTTAATCATGAAATCTTGTAGCTGTTCCACACTGTCTTGCCCAAGCATTAAATACCAAGAATTCTTCTTGTTTCAAAATTTGAGTCTTATCAAAAGAGCATGTACTTTCCCGTTAAGCAAATGCAGTCCTACTCAATGTATTAGGAAACTCTGAAGTTTTTTGTGGAATATACTTGTCATAACTGGAGAAAACACCAACTTTGTTAACTCCAACTTTGGAGGAGGAAAAAAAGTTTTCAGTTCTATTCCTCTTGCCCTAGTCTTCCTTATCACCCCAGCCAGAATGACTAAGGGCACCTTGCATCATGTAGACACCTCATCAGTATTAAATAATAATTATGGGAGCCTGGCAGAGAAATTGAGATCAGAGAGGGGAGCTTGGGTGGCTCACTTGGCTAAGCATCCGACTCTTGGACAATTTCAGCTCTGGTCATGATCTCAAGTTTCGTGGGTTTGAACCCTGCGTCAGGCTCTGCACTGGTAGTGCAGAGCCTGCTTGGGATGCTCTCTCTGCCTCACTCTCTGCTCCTCCCCCACTCACACTGTCTCTGTCTCTCTCAATATAAATAAATAAACTTAAAAAAAAATCTTAGGGGCGCCTGGGTGGCTCAGTCAGTTAAGCGTCCGACTTCAGCTCAGGTCACGATCTCGCCGTCCGTGAGTTCGAGCCCGTGTCGGGCTCTGGGCTGATGGCTCAGAGCCTGGAACCTGCTTCTGATTCTGTGTCTCCCTCTCTCTCTGCCCCTCCGCCATTCATGCTGTGTCTCTCTCTGTCTCAAAAATAGATAAAAACTTTAAAAAAAAAATCTTAAAGAAATCGAGGTCAGAGATGGAGCTACCAAGTTTTTCCACGAACTTCAGGGGGCTGGGAAAGTCATAGAATCCCTTTGCTTTGGCTTCCTCATTTCTGAAACAAGTGAAAATACCCACCAGTTCTCCTAAGGCCACATGGTTTAAATATACAATTGATGGGCAGGCAATTTGGATATAGAAATTCCAAACAGGAATGTAAATGATGCTTTAGAAAAGTTTGGCTGATTATTACAGCTCCTGTTTATAGATTTGTCTTCTCTAGCAAGGATATGACTCATGTTAAGTATATGGATTTTTCATCTAAATTGGCATGTCTCTGGTTAAAAAGAAACAAGCTAACCAAATGTTAATTTAGGCACATTGTATTTATGTGGGGGGGCGGGGAAGAGAGAGTATCCTGTCTGGGTCATTTCGTCTCTCCACTGTTGACATCTGCGGCCGCCACCAAGGTGGGGGAGGACGGGCCACTGGAGGATTCGCTCATGAACCTGGTGTTGGAGACCACTGATGACTGTGTTACGTCACTGTAGTGCTTTGTACGTGGGGGTATTTGCACAGGTACCACTCCATTTTATAATGACAACGCCCTGTGGAGCTCCTTGAGGACTATTTAGTTCTCATGTATTACTGATGAAGAGCCAAAGCTGAGGGAATATAAATGATACAGTGGGGTCCCCATGCCTGTCCGAGGCAAAGCACCCAGGGCCTCGGGGTCTGACCCAGGGGTCTTCCCACTAAACCAGCTGCTTCCTGGAGCAGGCTGCCTTGGAGAGGGGTTGTTGCATATCCTTCCCTGGATATCTCTAGTGTCATGTCTGCCCCTAGAGAAGAAAGGAAGTGGTCTTGGTTGATTTTGGATTATTTATGATGAGGACATAGGCCTTTTTGAGTTTGGGATTGGATTGCTCTCATTTGGTTTTTGTGTTTATCATTTTCCAAAGGTGGTTTAATGTGCTTCCCCTCTTGAGGGCTATAGGATGTTATTTGTTTATCCTTTTTAGTATAAATATGATAAAAATACATTTTATTTTGGAAAATACAAAATGCCTGCACAATAAAAACGAAACAAGAATTGCTTATTACCTGGAGAAAACCACTGTTCACATGTTGATATAGCATCTTTCTCCCTTTGGTAGTTGAAATTATAGATAGGTATTTGTATAGCCTACTTTTTTTTTCATATGGCCTTATAGCCTTATATTGTATTTTCCAGTGCCAGTACACCTGTAGTATAAAAGTAATGTTAATGGCCCCACTAATAACCCATGAAATGGGTATGATCTGTTTACTTAATCTTTCCCCCACTTTTGGGCAGTTGTCTGTGCCACTTGAAAGGAACACTGGAGAATATAAAAGAGAAGTGTGGGTGTGGGCTGTGCATACTTCCCTGTTTGCATTTCTGATCATGCCCCTAAAATGGGTTCCATAAAGAAAAGACTCAAGCATTATATCCTAAAAGAAAGATTCCTGAAAAGAAAGGTCCAGCCATTGTAAGACTAGCAGCAGAAACCAGCAACTTGCTCTGCACTGTGTGTGGAGGCTCATCACCCTTGCCCATGTCATCTCTGCCCAGCCTACCCCAGTCATCCACCCTCTGCATAGAGTGTCATCAAAGATTGTAGGTTACCTTTTACATGGCCTGAGCATCACCAGGAAGGAAATTGGGAACTTGGTTAAATTTTGCTTTATGGATTTTTATTTTATTTTATTATCATTTTTTATTTTTGTTTATGGATTTTATCTTCATTTTTTGCTTCATGGATATATACGTGTATGTACATATACACTTTTTAGATTATCACCTTTTTGGCATTTCCTGCTGTATTAGTGTTCTTCAAAGAAGCATAACCAGCGGAATAGGAGATGATAGATTGATGATGATGATGATAGCTGATAGATAGATAGACAGATATAAAGAGATTTATTATAAGGAATTAACTCATGTGATTATGGGGGCTGACAGGTTTCAAGATCTGCAGGGTTAACAGGCAAGCTGGAGACCCAGAAGGGCCAATGATGTAAATTCTAGGTCATAGGCCGGCAGATTGGAGACCCAAGGAAAGCCAGTGTTTCAGTGAGAATCTGAAGGCAGGAAAAAGCACATCCCGGTGCAAAGACAGTCGGGCAGGAGGAATTCCCTCTCATTCAAGGGAGACTCAGCCTTTTGTTTTATTCAGGTCTTCACCTTATTGGATGAGACCCACCCACATGAGGGAGAGCAATATGCTTTACTCAGTCTATGGATTTAAATGTGAAACTCATCCAAAAATATCCCTCACAGGAACACCCAGAATAATATTTGACCGAAGATCTGGGCACCCTGTGGCCCAGTCAAATTGACACATAAAATTAACCATTACACCCTCAATCCTGTGCCTCCGTGGCCTGCCTACCTATCCCAACCATTCCCTACAGGTGACTCTGAAATAGCAACCTTTTTTTTTTTTTTTCTTTACAACAATAGCTATTTCTAGTGGTTTTGTTACTTCGCATCATTCAGAAACAGAAGGGACAGGCTTCCTCAACTTGTGCACATGGTATCTTGTGACAAATAGAAACCCAGTCATATGATGGTTAGATTACAGCACCAGCTCATAAGAGCTCAGTCACCTGAATACGGAAGTAATAGTACCATCTCAACTATAGCCAGCCATTTTATCAACCATGGGAAAAATAATCTATCCATGACTTCCAAATCAGGGTCCCACAGAGATCCAGCTTCCACCATGCTTCTACTCAAGCCACAGATCAGGAACCTAAGTTTCGGTAGATCTTTGAGCCACAGATCCTCCTTTTCTGCACTTTCAAAGGGTTCTGAATTGACGGGAAAATGGGAACTGCTTTACCTCTGAAGTATTTTGTATCTTCATCTACTTAGTCATTTATTCATGTATTCATTCATTCTTTGATTTGTTAAACAACACACGCCATGTCAGCTTAAGGAGACTATGTGCACAGGAGGGAATAGGAAGGGAAATTAGAGATTCTTTATTTTAGAGATACTTGCAAGCCATGTTTAGGTTAAGAGTTCAAATTCATAGTCCGCCTATTAATGACCTGTACCAACGAGCACCTGATTCCAAGTCTGGTCATGAACAAAAGGATTATTCAGGATTCTCCTTCAATTAAAAAAAAAAAAAAAAAACTCCACACACATAAAAGGATTATTCAAGATTCACGGAAAAAAATAAAATGTTGGCAATGATTTAATAGCAGAGGGGATACTGGACTGCCTAGAAGTTAGGGGCACCTGGGTGGCTCAGTCAGTTAAGCGTCCGACTCTTGATTTGGACTCCGGTCGTGATCCCAGGGTCATGGGATCGAGCCCCACGTTGGACTCTGCACCTCTCTCCCCCAAAAAGAAAAAAAAAACACACTTAAAGAAGTCAGATAGAAAGGATTGTACTTCTAAGTAAGAGAACTAACTGTTTCAGCCCTTTGTTGCATGACTTTAAACTTGGATCCAGAATTTGATATTAAGATAGTGAATTCATTTATTCATTCAGTGAGTCAGCAGATATTTTTAAGAGCTCATTATGTGCCAGGCACTTGTTAAAAAGTATTGGGTCTTTTTGCAACAACATGGACAGATCTAGAGAATACAATGCTAAGCAAAATAAGTCACTCAGAGAAAGACAAATACCATCTGATTTCACTCATATGTGGAATTTAAGAAACAAAACAAACAAGGGACTCCTGGATGGTCCAGTCAGTTAAGCAGCTGGCTCTTGATTTTGGCTCAGGTCATGATCTCATGGTTCATGGGCTCGGGCCCAACATCAGGCTCTGCATGGAGCCTGCTTGGGATTCTCTGTCTCCCTCTCTCTCTCTCCCTCTCTCTCAAAATTAAATAAATAAACTTAAAAAAAATAAATAAATAAAAGAGACTAACCAAAAAACAGACTCTTAACTAGAGAACTGATGGTTACCAGAGGGCAGGTGGCAGGGGCGGGGGAGGTGGGGGAATGGGTGAAATAAGCGAAGGGGGTTAAGGGTACACTTACCATGATGAGAATGGAGTCATGTAGAGAATTGTTGAGTCACTACATTGTACACCTGAAATTAATACAACACTGTATGTTAACTGGAGTTAATTTTTTTTAATTAAAATTTTAAAAACTTTAAAGCATTAGATCTTAATAATATTGTTTTTAAAAAGAAGAAGAAGGTAGAGAAGAGCTAGAAGGTAGAGGGAAGATCTATAAACTACACGTTTTAGTGTGGTCTTCCCAATGGCTGCATTGCCATTAACGAAGATTGCTCATGTAAAGAAACCACGTATGTTTTGTAGTTTAAAAAATAATGCAGTTTACTGAAGCAGATTGGAGTTTTATTCCTTGAAACTAATAAAAGAGGCTTATGGGAGTTGGAAAGAAATAAAGACAATGACTTTACAATCATTTGTAGATACACAAGTATCTTTAGATGGCCTTTTTACTCTTTTTAATGAAACTATCCAAAAACCTCCACAGTAATGGGTAATTCACCTAGGAACTCATCTTCATTATTTGTGTAATTTTTAATTCTCCAAGCTTTTAGTTTCGTGTACATCAAAAACCACTTAAGGGCTGTAAAAAGATACTGAAGAGAATGCTACATTTAGAGCAGAAAATTCTGTTATTGAATTTACCCTAGTGATCATCGGTTGTAAATCTAAGCAATCAGTCCAGTTTATGAATAGACCAAGCTAGAGAAATCAGCATGCCTCATTTGCATACATACACACCGTCATCATGGATTAGCTTTGGTTGCATTTTCTCCCCTGGCAAACAGGACACGTATTTTATGTCACCTTGAAAGGAGAACTTAATAAAAAGCATGATACGGTATATTCAACCTCTTTCAAGTGTCCAGATCCTTACAACCCAATATCCAAAAAGTCGGACATTTCCCTTTCTGCATATCCCTCCTTTACTGAAAGAACATGTACTTCTCTTATGTACCTAGTAAACATCTAAGTGGGCCCAGTGCTGAGCACTGTGTAAACAAGATAAGTGAGGGCCTGGTTTTAGGAGTGTTGACATCAACGGATGGAAATGAAATGACGGACTCCGTTTAATTGTCTCCTCTGTTGTTAGGAAAGTCCAAAGACATGCCCTCCCCAGCAAAGAGCAGGACCATTCATTCCTCTGTGTCCATCTTAAATGCTTCAGGGTAGCTACCTCATCTGGGGCCACAATGGTACCTGGCTCTTGGGCCAACCCATGGAAGATAAAGGGAAGGTTCCAAGAGTAATCGTGGCCCATCTGGCTCCCCAGAGCCTCAGATTTGCCTGCCAGCAAAAACAAAGGGAGACAGTTTTATATTCTGTATTGGATTGATGCTATGTTTTAAGATAATACTCTCTACACACCTCGCCTTCTAATACGTAATTTCTTTTAGATTCCTAGGATGCCTCTGTGTGTGTGTGTGTGTGTGTGTGTGTGTGTGTGTGTGTGTGTTCTGTCTCAACCCGCTATTCCCCTGGCACGTGCTGGTCCATCTGCCCCAGCCCAGGATCCCCAGGGTCACACCACCCAGTGACAAGATGCATCAGGCCCACCTCTGTCCCTCCCCAGAGCTTCATGTAGTATTCTAATAATAATGACAGAGACCACTGAGTGGACACACAATGGGCGAGGCACTTTACATACCCTGTCAGCTGAGGGCACGACCACCCTGTAAGGAAATCACTTTCTCTTTTTCACAGATGGGCAAATTGATGTGCAGGGAAGTCAAGTCACTTATCCAAAACCGAGCCCTGGTAACTGGTGGCAAGAGCCAGTATTCAAAACTGTGTGCCTGATTCCTAAGCTCGTGAGTTGTTTTTGTTTTTGTCTTTTGCTTCCCCACTCTGCTTGTCAAAGCAGTTTGTTGCCTCCCCTATTAGTGTCAGTACTGTAATAAATGTCTCTTGCCTTGAACAGAAATACTGAAAGCGACAGTGTACCCTGGAGACCTGTGCGGTTGCCGTGGCCCTGGCCCAATCATTGCAGCCAGCAGTGTTTGCTGTGTACTTTAGATACATTGTTTCATTTCATTCTCAAATATGAAATGGGCACCATTTTATCCCCAGCTTGAGGAGTCATAACTGGTAGACGGAAGAGCCAGGATTCAAACCAACAGTGTTCAACTCCAAATCCCACATGGTAAATCACTGCAGCAGAGAGAGCTTTGCAGAGAGAGCTTTCTCCCACTTGGTATTTTAGAAAGAAAATTCCAACACTTTTTAGCGGGGAGGCGAGTGATTTCTGGCATCTATGCTAGTCAAGTTGACCATTGCCACTGGATGTGACGGCACCTGCTGTCCTCCTGTTGTGCTCATAGGACAACTTTGCAGTGGGGATTACACTTCAGTAGTCCCCGGGCTCCATGGCTAAAGTCCACGATGCTAAGATTTTATGGTGACTAGTTAGCATTAAGATGGCATTATATTATAATCATTAACTGAATACATTGACGTTTTATTGGATTGAAGAAAATAAAGAGGGTATTATATGGGGCCTGTCTCTGTGTGTGTGTGTGTGTGTGTGTGTGTGTGTATGTACTAGAAGATACACATTAGCCAAGAAGTCAGGACCCGAAGATACTACCGGAGGTCCAAATATCTGAGTAACAATATTACTTTCTGACAGAGAACTATTTACTAGAAAGATTCTCAGAAGGAATCGAATTGCTTTTATTAGTTTATTTATAGTGTGCACTTCCTTTTTCACCTCTCTCTCAAAAGAGGGTATTTGCACTTTTGCAGAATGTGTGAAAGTCCTCCATTTACAAAGTCCTGGAAGATATTTTTCTGCCAGTTCCTTAGTTCAGCAGCTCTCAGGGAGTTCCAGTGAAGCCTGCCGGGCGCGGGGAGGGGAGGGGGGAGCGTCTGTCCTGCTCCTCCTGTCTGGCATGCATTTCCTAAGCCATTCCCCCTGCTTAGAGCAGGACACCCACACTGGCGTCTGCAGGGCCACTTGGGAAGCTCTTCTGATCCGGGTCTCCCTGTTATCCCTCTTCTCACTGCTTTATTATTCTGCACTCAATTTCAAACTAAATAGAAATGCAGATGGGCACATGAGCATCTAGGTTTCCCAAAATACACATTTTTCTTGAGTGCTTCCCTCTTGAAGTGTGTGGACAGAGCCAGCATATTATCTCCCCATTATCACTCTGTTTTAATGTCTAACTGACAGGTGCCTGTCAGCAAAACAAGGCAGTAATGGGCAGAAAATGTCTCTGCTCTTAGAGAGCCAAAAAGACCCTGGATTCCTGTCAGTCTCAGAGACACTCATCAGCCATTGCTAAAGAAGACTTATAAATGCCTCTTTGGGGAATACCCATGAATGGCCTAAATGTTTTCACCCTTATTAGTGAGAAGAGAAAAGGGGAACTGTTTCTCATTACATGGGCAGATTTCACCCACAGTGCGTATTTTTCCGCCGGTGGAAGCTTGCCCAGCACGTTACTGTGTTATTACCGCAACCCCGGAGCAGGGTGTGGCCAAGCCAGATGGCACCTGCAGGCTTCATTGGGTGAGAATGGCTTCCTGATGAGTCACAGACAAGGTCCAACTGATACAGGCCCAGCGACCTCAGCTAGTCAGTCTGAAGCCATGTGGTTCTGCCAGTCTGCTTCCTTCAGATGCATCCAGTAAATAATATGATGGCGGAAGTCTACGGGGGCAAGTGACACCAAGTGGTCTGTGTCGCAGTAAGCAAAAGAGGCGACCTTTTAGATTTGTTTTCATTTTCCCAGGAGATTAGTCAATGCAGAAGCCCTCGGTCTATGAGGGAAGTTCAGCTTAAGGAAAGACTACATCAACCATCAAGACAAAGTCAGACACCAGGGCGCCTGGGGGGCTCAGTCTTGGTTAAGCATCCACCTTCAGCTCAGGTCATGATCTCACGGTTCGTGGGTTCAAGCCCCACATCGGGCTGTGTGCTGACCGCTCAGAGCCTGGATCCTGTTTCAGGATTCTGTGTCTCCTTCTCTCTCTGGCCCTCCCCTGCTTGTGCTCTGTCTCTCTCTCTCTCAAAAATAAACGTTAAAAAAAAAAAAAAAAAAAGACAAAGTCAGACACCAGAGCAGGTGAGAGAACCAGTGCTTGGCCTTCTTACTGAGAGCGCTCAGTGGCAGAGACCAGGCCCTTGAGTTATTTTGTGTCCATTTAAACCACAAGTCCAGTTCTCAATATGAGAAGGAGGGTTAGTTATGGTGAGGGGGTCTGACTTGTTTTTTTCCTTAATTTCAGTAAAAACAGGTGGACCTTCAAGAATAATACACAGGATAACAAAACAACTCAGTTACTGTACCATGTAACTAAGGCACAGATTCCTTACTCTGAAAGTTGACAATCAAAGGAAAGAATTAAACAGCGATCATGCGTTTTCTATGCAAATCGGACTTCAGCATAACCAGATTGCACTGGTTGATGAAGGAAAGTTGTTTCCAGAATTCTTGCTACTAAAGGTGAAGGGAAGTTCCACTTGGAAAGCTTAATTTTGTGGCCCCCAAATAAAATAATTGCTTCAAGCGACTGTCATCCATGGGTGCAATCATTAGACCATTAGAATATTGATGGGGAAGGATGAGGGAATCATCCGCCATCACTTGAACCCATTAAAAATGGGACACCCATTAGGTGTCTCCTGTTGTGATACAATGAGAAGTATACAGTGTCACCTATGAGCTATTGTTGCCTAAGAGTGGAACTCTATCAAGGCCACTTACACGTTTACAGAAAACATAGGGGATAGAGGAACAAATTAAATGATACCACAAGAAAGCCAATTTTGAATGTGGCTTCCTTCAGCAAGATAGTGGCAGGGAGAAGAAAAGGAGATGGCAAGTAAGAGGTACATAAATAGACATCTAAATGTTGCATACTGGGGTGCCTGGGTGGCTCAGTCGGTTGAGCATCCTACTCTTGATTTCAGCTCAGGTCATGATCTCACAGTTGGTGGGATCGAACCCCAATATCAGCACGGAACCTGCTTGGGATTCTCTCTCCCTCTCTCTCTCTCTGCCCCTCCCCCCAGTCGTGCACACGCATGCACACACGCTCTTTCAAAATAAATAAACATTAAAATAATCTTCATAGGAAAGAAGAAAAGGAGGGAAGGAGAAACAAGTGTGGCAAAATTTTGATTCGTTGTCAAAATGGCATGATGGGAGTATATCTACGTCAGTTTACTTAGTATTCTCTCTGCTTAAAATTTTTCATGCTGAAAATATTAAGGAGAAGAATAACAGATCTCTCTCAGAGGTGGGAGTGTGTGGATCCACTGGGGCCGTGACTAGAAAAAGGTCATTATCTGATGATAAAAAAAAAAAAAAAAAAAAAAAGGATTATTTTTTGAAGGTATCCTTTTTTAAAAGAAAAACTTGTTTTGTTAGCTTTTGGGGGTAGTCACTGCAAACCAATTCCATTGCCTTACATCAAGCAATTGGAGGGGAATTTGGGTAACAAATAGTCTCTGGTGGAAAAGTGAATGCTGATCTTAGCTGGAATAACTTGCTTTCTTCAGCATCCGCAGTGGTTGGTCTCCAGGGGCTTATCTGGCTACATGTGTTTTTCACATTTATTAGTGAAATTGGAGATTCAAGAATAAAACACAGTCCTCAGGAACATTTTGTTAATTTGTGACACACTAGAGATTTTTTAGCCCATAAAGCAAATGAATGAGCTCTGTGGGGGCATAACTGTTATTTTCACCCTGGAAGGCAGTAAAGACCCACTGTATTTATTAAGCACTTAGAGAATGGCAAATGAATAGTGCTATGAAAATAGAAAAATATATTCACACTATTGCTATTAATAGTGTAATTTTTTTTGTATGTTCTGAAGGAAAACCCATCAGATGAAAATTTAAAAGTAAAGATAGACAGACCTCTGTATAATATTTGACTGTTTTATCTTGGATGAGAATTTAATTCAGTGTCAGTATAAAGTTGTTTTGTTTCTGTCAAACAGGCTGGATCAGGTTAAGGAAACTCACCCCTTCTTTTTGGCGGGGCTGGATATACAAAGAAATGAACAGACCAGATATTTGATTCAGGACCTTCTTTCTAAGCGGCCACGGGGCCTAACGGGATGTTCTGGTGAAAACAGTCCTCCATGTACGTGATGTGCTGCGACATTTCTAACAGGCTTTAAAAATACTCAGCAGCTGACTCTTCAGCTCAGCTCAGGACATGATCTCATAGTTTGTGAGCTCTAGCCCCACGTCGGGCTCTGCGCTGACAGCACAGAGCCAGCTTAGAATTCTGTCTCTCCTCCTCTCTGCCTGTCTCTCTTTCTCAAAGTAAATTTTAAAAATAAACTTAAAAAGAAAAAATAACATACTCACCTGCACGGGAGGCTTGGGGACAGCGCTGGCTGGTCCTCACACCGAAAAAGCCCAGATGAAGCCGATACTCCAGCGAATGGGGGCTGTGTCAGATGCAGGGATTGATGTCAAGACGCAGGGTAAGCTGGACCAGGCAGCGAAAGGAGCACAGGCCAGAAGGGGGCATGTGCTCCCACGAGGACAAAGTGACTCCTCAGATTCCTTTGAAGGAGTTCATTGAATGCTTTGCACCGAGGTAGGTAGGAAGGAAGAAAGAGGCCTCATTCCCCGCCAGTAGGGGGTGAAGAACAAGAATCCAGAAGACCCTGGGAAGAGATTAAGTGATCAAGTGATCACGGATAACTCAGTCGTTGGCTATGTGGTGCGTTTTCGTGTGCTTGTTTGCACCTTGATTTAAAAGACTAGACCCGTTTATTTTCAGGAAGCACCAAAAAAGAAGCTGTGGCTTGTCTCTGCATGTATGCGTATGTGTGTGAGTGTGTGTCGCGGAGAGGCAGGGAACAGAGTCGAAGGGCCAAGAAGAGTCATTCCAGGGGGATGTTTTTGTGCTTTTTAGCTATATTTACACAAGACTGTCAAAGCAGATGTCAGCGGTTGTGCTTCCGTGAGATGTTTGCTTGGGCAGATGCGAGGGTAGCAAGGAGGGCTTGTAGAGGGGATGAGCCAGGTAAGGGATCTGGAAGGAACCCCTCACACCCTCCCTGGCCCCCAGCTGTTGTAAGCTGACCCCGCTGCACTACAGTCTTAAGCACTGTCTGTTACCAAGTGCCTTCCACATGCCAGGCACACACCTATCCCAGGTCCTCAGTGTCAGGGAGGAAAATGAGGCTTAGCGCCGGGTAAGTCTCGTCCATTCATAAGCGCTGGGTGGCAGATATAAGCCAGGGCTCTGTCCCCTTCCCCCCCACCATCCCAGAGTGCTCCTGACCCCAAAGCCAAATATGTACAAAAGCAACGCAAAGACACCCAGAGGCTCCGGCACGTCTCTAGAGCACATGTGAGATAATGAGCACATGTGGAATTTGGGAGGCTTTTAATGTTATGAAGCACACGACAGGGAGTCCCTCTGTAATACCAAAGACAGGGCTGAAAAGTGAGATCCAAAGAGTTTTCATCTTTACTCTGTGCTTGCCTTAATACTCCTCACCACGCTGAGCCACTTAAGTCAACCTTGCGCTGAAGCCAAGGGTAATGGAGCCAAGTCTCTTGGGACCTCAAGGGCCTGAAGTGAGGCCTGCGCTCCCAGAACCTGGCAGAACGTAGAGCTTGGACAAGACCCTGGGAGAGGGCAAGAGTGCAGCCTCCCCATGGTCTTGGTGAAATGCAGACGGGGAAAGCCCCAAGGCACCCGGGCTGAAAATACGCTAACAGCTGGCTGTATTCTCGGGGGTGGGAGGCTGAGGTTAGGCACACCTACACACCGGGCACAGGGCTGTTTGCACAGAAAAGATGAGTGAGGTACAACTTCCTCTATGGTGGGCATTCGCCTGGATGCTGGTAGAAAATGAATACGAGTGAAGTGACAGACCGGGGACTTCTGGTTCTTAGGGTTTATTCTGCCCTCCTTTGGAGCTGAAACATTTACCCCCTGTATCACCAGATATCCTGGTTAGCATGTTGTACCCTCCACACTTTTCCTTAGGCTAGACAGGCAGCTGTTGGGTGCTAGGCATGCCGAATGTCATTTGAAGAATACGCTTTTCTTTTTCATCTCCCTGCGATGTCCCGGAATGTCTTACTCTCTTTTGCCTGCTCCCCTCTGTGGTTTTTCAGCTTGTCACTTAAACATTTCTGATGTGTCCTGATTGCTCCCCGGTCCCCAGAACTCATCAGAGAGCCCTACCCCACGCTCACCCCCGCCTTGGGAAGCAGGGGTCTGTGTCCCGGGTCCTGTTGTCACTTGCAAGTGTGACTCAGCTGCCGCTGTGTCTTTGAACACACAAGGCAGTTGTGGGATTTTTAATTGCCATTTTCATCTCTATAATTAAAATTAAATGAAAAAATGGATAGCCTCCAAAATCCGAATTAATTTTATGAGTACTTCTTGAGGGGGAAAAAATATGTATAAACACTATAATTGTTACTTGATTTGCCTTCAGCAGAACGAGAGGATTTTACCTGCCTGAAGAGAAAATTTGTAATTTTAAATGAAAAAAAAAAAAAATTAGCCCGATACTTCTGGTGCTTCTTGTGACTGAAAGTCAAAAATAACAACATGAAAAAAAAAATAAAATAACAACATGGATGGATAATCAAAACTAATAACAGGGAAGGGATAAATAACTCCGTGTGTCACTTTCAAAAAGACACTGTGTGATTGGAACTCTCTGGATCCAACTTGCCTTCATGCTAGTCTGGATTTCTTTTCCCCCCCGCCTGATTCATCACCGGTGTTTACGCTTTCCTCAAGAAAGTGTCTTTACCCCCACATCAAAACCTCCTTAATGCTCGGAAACCGGCATTTCGCCTGCTTACTCTGCTATGCAAGTGTGACAGTGCGCACGTAAGCGGAGCATAATGAGAAAACAAAAAGGCACGTTTTTTTTGTTGTTGTTTTTGTTTTTTGCTTTTTTGGTTTTTAACCCACTGGGCCAGGCAGTGTGGCAGTGCGCAGTCTCATGAGGCGCCTGACGGACATGTTTGTAAAGACTTGGACGGTCACTTTATTTGGAATGACAAACCCTTCGCTCCACATAATGAGGTCAGTGAAGCATCCAGAAAAGAAACGTATAATTTGGTAGCGTGGGTCTGAAAGCACAGCTCTGCTGAGGCTATTTCAGTTTAATGAAGCAGCTACTTTACCGCTACCCACTCTTAGTGAATAGCCTCCTTGGCGTGTTTTTGAAAACTTGAATGTTGCTGGTAATCATGTCCCAGCAATCTCCTTAGAGAGCCTTTGTGCCCTGTCCTCAGAAGAAATATGCCGCTTTTACATGTTAATGGTTTTGAAATTAGTCATTTGCTCCATTTTCATTGGAAAGGAAGGTCAGTGTGTGATTTCCCGCCTGCCTTCATTTTGTCTGAACATTCCAGATACTCCCAAGTCAGTTCATCAGGCATGCAGGGCACTGCCTGGTTATAACATGCCTCAAAAGCCAGGGAAATGTTCTATCAAAGAGCATTCTTAATTCTCTGAGACTGTTCTTAGAATTCAGAGTCTAAAAGTCTCCCTCAGAGGGGGAAGTTCCTGGACAGCCTTTATTGCCTTTTTTTTTTTTTCGTTTCAATCACCAACTGACTTGTCCTGCCCGCTCATTGGTCTCATCCTTGGAGGCCTTGCCCCCCTGAGTATGCAGCCCCTCTAGGAAGGCGAAGGGACGTTTTAGAGATACTCCTGAGGCAAGTATCATGTAAAACGGAGGTCCACCTTCTGAATCCTGGACCAGGGTGAATGATGTGCAGTTCTGTGGGAGCAGAAAGCCATCGAGCCATTCCTCAGTTGTGCATTTGCATCCTCCAGCCCCCCACAAATGTAGGGCAGTTTCCCCCAAGTAAGCAAAGGCATGATTGCTAGTGGAAAGATGCCTTGCCCTCATGGCTCTGCAGCCCCGAAGAGGTTCTGGGAAACATTCCTCAAGAAATGCAAAGCCTGGCTTGAAAGGTCTGGACACTACACCATCAGCAACTTCGAAGGAGTACCTAGTCATCTCTCAGAAAATATTTCTTTGAGCGGACAAAAGAATGAATACATTCGCTTCTTGGATTTGCTTTGTGGACCGACTCTGGTTGTGAGAGTGACAGGGCACCCTTCTAGAACATATTGAGACCTAAGGAGCGTGCTTGTTAAAAATCTCAGGAATTACTAGCATCGAATTTGGAGGTCCATTCTTGCCACAGATTGCCTCTCCAGGCTTGGGCCTGCTTAGTCCACTGCCCAGGCAGCCTTCCTGACCAGGTTAGTGCCAGCTAACACACATACTCTTATGCTCTTATTTTCACCTTTAAACCCCATGATAACTTGTACACCCAAACAGAGGTGCCAAAATAACAGATTCCTCCCCCAGACATCTTGTTGTCCTACAACTAAAAGATTCAAGTTGAGTTGCCGCTGAAAATACAGTTCTGATAGAAGCAGGCACTTGGGGGCGTGGCTTGCATTTTATTTCCTAGTATATTTATCACATACTAGATAAGCTAAGATAATGGCAGCTGCTGTAACAAATAAACCCAAATCTCTCAAACATAATACATACCTTCACTAAACATTCATCATGGACAGGTGACAACCTGTGTGCAGGGATCTGAAGGAGACAGGGCTGAGGAAGAGAAATAGATGTTCAGGGAAGAGGGTCCCTTCGTGCTCCCCCACCAAGAGAGTCGGAGCAGTACAACGTCAGAGCTCAAGCATGATCCAGAGGTACAGCATGGTGGAAACTGACCAGCCACGGGGGAAGGGAGTTTTCAAAGAGAGAAACAAGATGCAACTCAGCCTAGAAAAAAGAGCAGAAATTAAGGTTAACGTGGCAATAGTCCCCTGCACGCGGCTCATCCCAGTTTACGGAGCGTGTTCACAGGTATTATTTTAGGCCTCACAAACAACCCGATCAAGTGGCTCAGGAATATTAGTGCCTTTATTCCAAATACGCAAGAGATCTCCACAAAGGCTGAGAGGCTATGTGATTTAGCCAGGTGAGCAATGAGCCAAGGTGCAGGCGTGGGTGCCCTGCCTCTGAGAACAGAGCTTCCTCCCATAACTCTGTGATCCTCAGGGAGGTTTCAGGGACTGCTGGGGCCAGGGGGGCTGAGGAGGTGAACAGAGGGCCCCTGCCTTCCCCTCCCCCACGTCCTCCGGCCGCATCCTCGTGGTGCCAGCCATGTTCCCATGGAAATCACTTACCAAAGGCAGACCGTTCAGAAACATGGCAGCAATTAGCCGTAGCCCGGCTGGGTTCTTGCTTTGGTAAAACCTGTACTGTCCTTTAAAGGGGTCACAGTTTAACAAACAGGCCTTTTTAATCTTCACAATGGTCTCATCAGGCTTTCATTCATTTAGCCACTCCCTCCTCTTTTGCCGGCTCCCTCTCCTGCACCTAGCGCCTTCCTTTTCACTCTGTGCAGATGGATTTGGCCGATGCCAAATCATGTTCTATTCACAGCCTGAGAAAGAAAGAATACAAGGTGTCAAGCCTGGCCAACAAAGGACCTGCCCTACCAGTGCAATCTGATGTTCAAGTTTACACAGACACACCACCCCCCACGGGCACTGTGGTTTTGTCCTGAACAATCCCAGACAGCAGAATTCTTGGCTGAACCAGGAAGACATGTTCCCACAAGAGCAGCAGTGCTGATAAGAAAGCGGTCGAATTGGTGCTTGAAATTTTGCAGAAAGACCAGTGGAAGCCCAGTCAGGCTGCAAACCGACAGCTCAGCTCTTTCCAGCATCCACAGCAACAGCCTGCTCTTTTCCCAGGTGGCCCTAAAGGAGACAGGGAAATGCAGTGGGCCATTTGTCACTGCCCCTGCTGCCACATATGTATGCCAATTGGTGCATGCAGCCTACACAGGCCCACTCCTGCCCCAGGCCCGGTCTAGGCCTCTGTGCTTCCTTTTGACTGAGACTGGGGACAGTCTCCTCCTCCTCCACCTGGGGAGATGACTAGATCCACTCTTGTGGGGTCAGAACCAACTTAGCCCTTCCCACCATGATCTCAGGTGCCCATGCTCTGCATAATCCCTTCTATCCAATTTTCAATTCAAGATATGATCTTGTAGGGGCACCCGTGGGTGGTTCAGTGGATTAAGTGTCTGACTCTTGATTTTGGCTCAGGTCATGATCTCATGGTCGTGGGATCAAGCCCCACCTCAGGCTCCATGCTGAGCATGCCTGGAGCCTGCTTTAGATTCTCTCTCTCTGTCTCTCTCTCTGTCTCTCTCTGTCTCTCTCCCTCCCTGTCTTTCTGCCCCTCCCCTGCTTGTGCTGTCTCCCTCAAAATAAATAAATATTAAAAAAAAAAAAAAAAAAGACATGATCTCTTCAAAGTGTGTGAACTCATCATGGGCATGCCAGGCTTGGTACCTCAAGATTATTCTGATGCATGGTGGTCTGTGAATATGGTGGTGTATTCAGTGAGTGCTGGACTGGAGCATCATATCCATCAGGTCCCAAGTTGGGTTCAGGGCTTGCTTGCAGGAGAAGGCAACATAGAGGAGCCTTCCTTCCCTTTATGCTCAACTCCGTGCCCAGCACCCACTGTGAATGAAATGAACTGATCAGACCACTGATGATCCCTTTTGCCTTTGAGAAGGGAAATTAAATGATGAAGTATATCACCCAGAAGTGAAATTACAGATATAAAATAAGTTTAAAGGGAACTCTACTTCGTGAATTGTTGTAAGGGCATTTTATTGCAGATTTAGGTCATATATTTAGAATTGCTTCCTTTGATGAGAACTTAATCTAGGTTATAAGTGAACGAACTTGGGGACATTGTGTGCCTGAGTGATGTCCCGTCACTAGAGTTAGCTTAATTACTGACTGCCTGGGTCTCATCTTCTCCCTCTGTGCATCTCTCCTCTGCCTCCTCCCCATGCCATCGAGCATAGGGAGGGAGCGTTTGGTCCTAGGAGTTGAAGTTATGCAGAACCTGAAAATAGACTCATAGAATGCATCCAGACATAATGATTCCATGCGGCAAGAAGGTCACTGTGTCTGCTTTTCCTGCCAATACATCCCTGGCTCTTTATCTATGGCTGCCTTGTGAGGCAAGAGAGCTGTGCCAGGAAGTTACACTTGGTGACTAGGAGGCATTATTAGAATTTAAGATCACGTCAATGGGGTTTTATAAGAGCAGGGATAGGGAAGGGGGAGTAGACAGAGTTTTAGAAGTCGGTCTTTGAACATCCTTTTGTTCTGTGGCCTGAGAGCTACTATAACTCAATTACTAAAAAAAAAAAAAAAAAAAAAAAAAAATCTGGCCTCAGTTACAAATCAACTCTGCCCTGTTAACCCTGCCAAAAATTAAAAAGGCATCCACCCAGAAAGTTTACTGTGGTTATCCAAGTGGTGGGATCATCTGTGAGTCGTGTTGTTTTCTTTGTACTTTTCTGTACTTTCTATAACATACATTTCTGGCTTTTACAGTATTAAAAACAAACAAACAAAGGCAACATATCCTATTTAAAAAGCAAAACCAGGGGTACCTGGGTGGCTCAGTTGGTAAAGTGTCCGACTCTTGGTTTCAGCGTAGGTCATGATCTCATGGTTCGTGGGTTTGGGCCGCGCTTCAGGCTCTGGGCTGACAGCGCGGAGTCTGCTCAGGATTCTGTTTCTCTCTCTCTGCCCCTCCCCTATGCATGCTCAAAGTCCCTCTCTCTCTTTCTCAAAATAAATGAAGAAACTTTTAAAAAATAATAAAAAATAAAAAGCAAAACCACACTGGCTAATTATCCGGGTGTGTCCTTGACTGCCCAGTGCCTGGTGGTTGGAAAGCCCACCAGGGAGGTGACGACAACATGTGGGGACAGCCCTGCCTGTGTCCCTACATCGGGCCTCTGACCAGGGCTGGTTGTCCACTACCCCGTCCTCACTTCCGGCTTCCAGAGGTCTCCCAGGACAGGCCAGATCACAAACACTAAGAGCAATGGTGACGGCCATGGACAGGAACAGGAACATGCTGGAGCAAGGCCAGCCAGACACCTCAGCACAAGGAGGGGATTCCGTTCCTGTCCAGTTGCCCCTGATGGCCAGGCTCCTTGACATGTGCTTTTCGGGAGGGATAGTGTCAGTTCAAGTTCACCTGCAAGCACTATGTTCTCATCCTAATAACAGCCAGTAGATGCAAATTGTTCTGGAAGTTGGGATGATCCTGTTTCCCAGACCCATAGGAGTCAAGTACTGTATGATAACCAGGAGAAACAGCTAGGAGAAAGCAACCCACTGAGGAATTCCAAAAATCTTTCGGGGGCTGTGAGGTGGATTTATTTTGATTTGGGGCCTTTACCATCCAGTCTGGTTGTTGATGTGAACTCCATCCGTCAACCAGTCCTGCCTCTGTCTATAGAGTCTGGGCTATCATGGGCTCTGGAGCTTGAGATGAGCAGGCTGGGCAGAAATAGCCATATTCCTAGAGGTGAGATTCAATACCTGCAAGTTTCTGTAAAGATGTCTGTTTCTCATGTATCGCATGCAGACCTGTTACTGGATACGGTGGGGTTGCTCACACCGGTGCATCTGGGTGCTTTTAATTTGAGGTCTGGTTCAAGCCCCCACCACACTGATCGGGGACAGAATTCATTGCAGGCCCTGTGACAGACTGTGTGTCAGGGAGGCAAGGCCTTTACTAAGAATGCATTTTAAGAGCCTGTAGAGAGCTCATTCGTCATCATTTCTTGCGTTCCTCTATGATGATGCAGTGTCCCTGGATTTTAGGTATTCCACTAACAAAAACTCAATTCTAATGTCTCGATTGTGATGTCCCTTAGGAAACAATATAACGACCTCATCCAGCTAATCATTTCTCATGAATAACTTTTTAAGACAAGGCTAAAATAGGTTAAGTTTTTAAAGGAAGTTAATTGTCAAGATATATTAAGTAGATAATTGCATTATGGGACACAGATATGGCAATGGTCAGAAACGTGGTACATTAATTGAACGATTCACTTTGGCAGATATTGTCCTAGAAGGTGCTACTTGGCCAAAGTCTTTTTTTTTCTTTCCCTTACTCTCTTTCTTTAATCTTAGCATCTCAGAATGAAGCCGAATGGAAAATAAATTGCTTACAAGAAAAAAAGAGTTGCGAGCGGTTTTAATAAAGATTCTAGTAACTTTGAGAGAGTGTCAACAAAGACTTATTGCTTCTCTGGCACAGAGCAGGAGAACCGCTTATCTCCTCTTCAGATCTGGCTCCAGAGCCATCACGCCCTCTCCCCTCCAAGAGCAGGGATCCTAAATGTTCACGTACACTGCTATTTACGTATGCCCGCCATCTTGTTCACAACCACATCCACTGTTTCTCGTGGGTTCTGTGTGTGTGCACACACGTGTTACATGGTAACAAGATAATGCACCATGTCTAGGCTCCCCGTGTTATTCCTATTAAATGACGACACGGCGATGTTGGTGGCCCGTAGTTCTCCATTTTCTATTAACCACCCTGCCCAAGTAAACTGTTTTCTGATCTCTCCTAGATGGAAATCTTGCATGAACGTGGAAGCCATTAGCAGAGTAATTGCTGTCTGTTACCATGACAACCAGCCGCTGCAGTCACCTGCCGGAAGTGCTGCCAGACTGCACCAGCTCGGCTGCGCCCGTGGTGAAGACCGTGGACGACTGTGGCAGCCTCGTGAATGGGCAGCCGCAGTATGTCATGCAAGTTTCGGCCAAGGACGGGCAGCTGCTGTCAACAGTAGTGCGGACTCTTGCCACCCAGAGGTAGTACCGCTATTAAATAAATGAATCTGTAACTGAGCCGGAGCACTCTGTCAGATGCAGGATGCTGAAAGGAATGTAAACAGTGCTCAGGGCTTTGTGTCAGGTGAGAGGAGGTGCTGAGGGAAGAAAAAACTATACAAGTTCTCTGATCAGCGTTTCTATAGCAATGGGGTGTAATGCTAAAATCCACACTCCTGAGTTCTCCACTTAAAACACTTGCAGAGAGCCAGGCAGGGAAGGATCCCACAGGACACAGGATGGCTTTCTTTACCTGTGTTATTTGGACAATGCTATGGTAAATTACACTCTCTGTCGCCCTATGCTAACAAAAGTAGCTCTTTGTTAGAAAGGAGGGAAGGAGGCACCTGAATTCCGGTGACAAAGCCAAAGTGATTAGACTTGTGGGCAAAACTTCTGAAGTGACCTTCCTAGTGCTTGTGCTAATCAGCACAGCCTGGTGGGAGCACTATTCTGGGTGAGTCGCTTCTGTGGTATGTCCCCACTCAGGAGTGGGGGCACTTCTGTTGCCCCCTCCTTTGCGCCCCATGGGCCCTTCACCCCTGATCCTTCACAACATACCCTGCCTGCCCCCACAGCTTGTCTCCCTTGGATGATGAAACAAAACAAGGCCGTGGGCTCTGAGCAGCCCCGAGATGGCTTATCCAGGCCGGCACTTGGTCCCTGGAGCGCTCCCCTTGTCTGGTGGCAGACTGAGAGCCATGGGCTGTCCGGCCAATACGTGCTCCTTGGCTTCTCCAGCTTTCTTGCAGAACAGTTACGTGCAACTTTGATCTAATAATGTAAAATGCCTGTCAACACTGGACCTGCCCTAAGATGCCGGCACCACCACTCCTGATTCTGGAAGGTTGGGCCAGTAACTCACATGTTGACTGGTTATCTTTGTCTGAGGAATGCAACCAAGCCCTACAGTAGAGATACAGGCCCACATGCAACTGCAGCAGGACTGTGGGTAGCACCACAGCGTTTTCCGTTACCCCAGCCTGGACACAGAAGCCACCAAACACAGACTTACACACTCATGC